GATTTTTACCATTGCAATTTTTGTGTGGTTATGGCTATAGCTATACAACACTTCTCTGTTTTTCAGGGGTTTGACAGCATCTGAAAGTCTATTTTAAAAGGTGCTTATAAGCTGTTAGAAAGACAATGCTTATCCTTTTCTTTTTTTTTTTTTTTTAAATGACACTCTGTATACCTCCTACTGAAAGATATTAGTATTAGTAGAAAGCAAAAAACCCACACCATTATCTTCCAAAATGAAGATCTGACTATCTAATGTACTGTTGTTACACTCAAACACGTAGACAGGGCTGCAACGAAGGAGAGTTACTTGTTTTAAACTAGACCTGACAGGAAGATGGCTTATGATGGGCAGATAAAAGAAGAGAGAGGCCCCTTGAGCTCTTCAGTGTTGTCAAATATCTTTGCTTTTCCTTGGTTCTCTGGAAGCAAGTAACTACCTGAAGATTCTGGTGGGGGTTTTGTTGTTGTTGTTTTTAAATGCATAAGCAAGGTCTGTATTCAAGCTCCATCTCTTAATGGAAAACACAGACTGTGAGACCCAAGTGCACCCTACAGGTTTCAAAATAAGATGCAAGCAGGCAGGAATCCAAAACATGCGCCCCCTCGCCTTTTCTTTTTTTAAGCTGGCCCATTTATTTCAAAGCCAGCCTTATAATTAATTTCAGGGAAGAGAGAACAAGCTACTTCTTTCTGAATGTTTGATACGCAGCAATATCAGCTCTCATACACTTGATGGTAAAGTAAGTTGCAAGTTCTGCTATGCAAAAACTAAGTAAACATGAAAAAAGGCTGGGGGGGGGGAGAGGGAGAGTGCAGCACATTTGTTAAATGCCATGGCTGACATTCTCATTCTTAGCTGCAACTCTAAGCCATGCCTCTGGTCACCTGTACCTCAGTCCCCAGGCCTCAGTCACATTACATCAATTCTGGGTTGTTTTTCAGGGATGAGAAGAGCAGGATGGGGAGGGGATTGTGAGTTTCTTGAAATGATCATTGGTATTGCTGAGAAATTTGCTTTTCATTCATTTTAAATGGTTAGCAAAGTATTCTGTCATTCAAGATTCGCATTACCAGAGGTGAGTCAGCAAAGGCAGAAAACAATATGTGTAGATAATACCTTCACGGAGCAGGATTATGCACCTCAGTGAGTGTCCCTGCATGGCTGGAAGCTTTTCCACGCCTGCCTTTGGGGTCTGGAAGTACCTGAGTGAACTACAAGGAGCTGCCTTTAGGAAGCACTTCAATAGGTGTCAGCCTCTATGGTGCTGCTTTTGCAGCTGTAGACTGCATAGAGCCCAGTGAGTCCCAGCCCATCGCTGGAAACCAGCATCAATTCTTTCCCTCTCAATGTCACTTCACAGCCCTCGCTGACGCCACCATTTAGCAGGATGAATGAGAGGCCTCCTTCGGGTGTCCAGTGTCAATAGAAGGGAAAAAAAACCCCAACCCTCAAACTCAAACCTGTTTTTTTTGTGAGTTCTAGAATCATGCCAAATTCTAATGTTATCTACAACTTTAGATTTAAGATTACATGTCAGTTTTGTGTTGATTTGTGTAGAAAACAGACTGCCACTTTAAAAGGAACATTATTATTACTTTAAAATGACATGTAGCTCTACTTTATGTCTGGGAATCAAGGTGCTACAAAACATTGGCCAATGGCCTTGAAAGCAGGACTCCTGAAACATCAGAAAAACTGTCAGCAATAGCGTGGCCAGCAGGGACAGGGAAGGGATCTCACCCCTGTACTCGGCACTGGTGAGGCTGCCCCTCCATTCCTGTGTTCAGTTTTGGGCCCCTCACTACAAAAAGGACATTGAATGACTCGAGCGTGTCCAGAGAAGGGCAACGGAGCTGGTGCAGGGTCTGGAGCACAGGTCGTACGGGGAGCGGCTGAGGGAACTGGGGGTGTTTAGTCTGGAGAAGAGGAGGCTGAGGGGAGACCTCACCGCCCTCTACAGCTCCCTGAAAGGAGGGTGCAGAGAGCTGGGGATGAGTCTCTTGGACCAAGTAGTAAGTGACAGGACAAGAGGGAATGGCCTCAAGTTGCACCCAGAGAAGGCTTAGACTGGCTGTTAGGAAGCATTTCTTTCCAGAAGGGGTTGTTGGGCGTTGGAATGGGCTGCCCAGGGAGGTGGTGGAGTCCCCATCCCTGGAGGTGTTAAGGAGTCGCACTGACATAGCGCTGAGGGATCTGGTGTAGTTGAGAATGGTCAATGTGAGGTTAATGGTTGGACTGGATGATCTTCAAGGTCTTTTCCAATCTAGATGATTCTGTGATTCTGTAACTAAACCCTTCACATAGATATATGCTGTTATCACAGTGGGAACTAGCTTCATAACTAGTAACCCAAAATTTCCACCATAAAAGAAAATTTGCCTTAAACTATGTGTATTATTCATGCACTTGTGTAAACTAGGGGAGAAGTTAAGCCTAAACTCACTATTTACTCAACTGCCTCCCTCTTTAAGGATGGCTATCAATTTACATGATAGTTTCAACTGAACTTCCTGGGGAAAAAAGAAAATTAAGGTTACAGACAAACATGGATGATCTTCAAGGTCTTTTCCAACCTAGATGATTCTGTAATTCTCTGAAAAAAAAAAAAAAAGACGATTAGAATTATGTATATTCAATTAGAATTGAAAATACTCACCAAGAGGGGACAAGGACTTCCAACTAATTTATAAAAGCAGCAAATCATTAGATGATGTCAGGGAAAATGTTAGTGCAGTGTTACAATTTAGAGATGACAACTGTGCTATGTCATACGGGATGAATCAGATACTAACAGTTTACAATCAGCTGCAAAATAGAGGAGCTGCCTTTGCAGCACATGATCAAATGTTACAGGAGACAAAGACAAAGCCGGCAATTTTTGGTCTGAAACTGATCAAAGCCATAGGTAAGCAATACACTGATCTGTTTTGTCTTTATGCAACACTGTGGTGTTTGAGGGAAAACAGTTACCCATGTTTTTTCTGCTGTCCTGCTTTGCTGATTCCAGGAAGAAAAGTCCCAGTGAGTCACAGATGAAGGTGGTAAAGGTCAAAGAAGGGGTGGGAGGCTGGGCTACCTTCACCTGAATTCTTGTGTGGACTCCCACACTACTCCCTTCCATCAAAGCCAGAGATTAACTGATTTTTAGATCTTTAAGACATATTTTGGAGGTGAAAGAATATTAAAGTGATACTACTTTCATTAGGGGTCCTTATCTATTCTCACTGTATCTGGAAAGCTGTCTTGTAGAATTATTGGCTGGAAAAAATCACAAGGGTGAGCTATCTTTTTCAGGTTCTTTAATGACTATGTACTTCGGACCCTTTATTGGATCAGCAATTTTTTGCTTTGGGGAGATTACAGTACACAATAAGAAGCCCAAGTATTTTGATGCTTCTTAGCTATAGCATCATGATGAAGATGTGAAAAAAAAAAAAAAAAAAAAAAAAAAAGAGAACCCTAACACGCAGCAAGTATGATACATGCATGATTACTAGGACACATCTAGAGTTTGTATGATGTTGGCCTTTTGCCTTCCTAAGTTGAAAGTCAATTCCTTTCTAAGCAGTTTGATGAAATAGCTAGTGTCAGTCTCAGACAAGGGCTCACCACTGTGTCACACTTTTGGTAGCCTACCAAGGTCACTTCTGGTCAATCTCAGGGTCCAAAAGCACAAGGTATACACAGTCCATAGACACGTCTTTGAACCATTCAGTAGAATTAACACCTGTGTGAGCAACAATGACTGCAATCATATTGAAACCTGCAAATCATCTCTGAAAGGTGTTTCACCTTTTTAACACACTTAAGTGTGGAACTAGAAGAGCATCATAAATAGGACAGTAGTGAAACAGTATATAAACACAAATTATTTGATTGTTCCTTGGTGGGGAAGACAGCTTAACTGGAATTGAAGCCTTGCTCTGGCTGTGTGCATACACGTGTGTATGTGTACGCATACGGAAACCTGCAAGACTGACTTCTGAGAAAACAAAAAGTTCCACCTCTATGTGAAGTTAAATGGAGTAACAGAGAAGACTCCTTTAAGGTCCTGACATACATTCAAGGGTCAGTAACTACTAGTTTTATAACTGTTGTATCCCTTCCCATTCTTCTGGAACCTGAAATAAATCCCAAACATGCCTCTGAATCATCAGGTGGGTGCTTTAGACGCTTCAAAATAACTCAGAGCCATTGCAAGAAAGCACTGACAGTAGTCCAAGTATTGTGACAGTCTTTAACAAAACTGTCGCCTACACATACAGAAACTAGACGCTCTTTTTCCTTCCTTAGAGTTTTTTTTTTAATGGATTTTACCATAAGAACTAAATCATCATTCTTAGCATAATATTGAAAACAAGCGGTAACAGTTTGTGGCAGAGCCAGTTTATTAGGTTTCTGGGATTGTGTTTTGCCCTCCCTCCAACACATACAAAATAACCCAACTTGACAATTTGGTAAAGTGAAAATACATATACAAAGTGTTCAGTACGTTTGACATCAATTTTGTGTGCAGAACATCACCACTGAAAGCCAGGAAGCATACTGAATCCTGCACTGATGACCACATTACCTTTACGGCAGAACCATTAAAACATGCTTTGTGCTGAAGATGAAATTACATACTTAATCATTGTTTCCACACCGTTTTAATGACATGAGCGCCCTTATTTACAGGTTGTGAATAACTCAAAGTTTAACAGATTTGTGGATGTTTGATATTAAATTTAACAGCAACACTGTAGCTACATAACTTCCTCACCTCAACCCCAACCTGACTGACTGACTCTGGAATTCTTCATTCTGTTGTTTTGGGTTTTTTTGTTTAAAAAAAACAACACAAAAGCAAAAAACAGTTGCTGACGTACAAATAGTTAAGATGGATCCTTCTGAGAAAAAGGATTAAGGACATGAGTGAAAAACAAATTGTCCAAGAGGACTGTAAACCATACTTATTTACAACAGTATACACATAAATGTAAGATTTTCTTAAAAAAAAAAAATCATTAAGGACACTAGTGTTAAAAAGCTGATTGTTTCTGAAAGGACTGTAAACCAAATTCTAGTCATGTAAGGTTCAGAGTGAATACAGAAGCTCCCTTTTACAAATGTTTCCCAAACAAAAATACTGTCACAGTTGTAGCAGCTTTATACAGCAAGAAAACATTACCTTTTTAGATTCTGTTTAAACATCTTAATCATATTAGACCAAATTGAATGCCTTTTGGAAATCTAGAAAAAGTCAATTAATTTTTCTTTTGCCAGTATAATTTACAATAGAATTACATCTTACATAGAATGAATATTGTAATACCTTAAATAATGTTAATTCTCTTATTTCAGTAATTTGTTTCTAATGTGATCACTAGGGCGGCAGCTTCCGAACTTGCCCTTCCATTTAGCTTCCAGTCAGCATCACATGCTACACACTGCAAATGAAAAAAATCTTCATTTTTACCTCAATTCTTTTAAAAACTAAATCACAGAACATTGTTTGACATGGCACATGAATGAAGTCATAGACTGCATTCTATGACTTACATTTCGCTTTATGTAATTATATGCAACCTAGCACCATTTTTATTATGAAACTTGACCTTCAGACAGCACTGAAATAAAACAGCTGCAATTATGAGAACACAGAAGATGGTTCTGGAGGCGTAATTTCCCTCATCTGACCCAACACATTACTAACTCACATTAGTAATGACAAGGATGCCCCACATACAGCCATGACATTATGCAAGCTGGTTTTAGCTCAGGAATCTGCGACAGATGATGTATTTGGCAGATTTTCTCTGTATTTCAAGATCTAATTCAGTTTGTATTCAGAAGTATTTTAAGGAAGCCTCATATTCCTAAAATTCTGTCCTAAGCATTTCCATCCCTAAAAAATGTTATGAAGTTGGTTGTAAAAAGCTTTTTCAAGATATTTGAAAAGCATTCATCATCACTAAAACTCTCTGAAACCCCTGTCTCTGAAAACCAGTATGCCTTTGCCAACTTTGCTCCATCTTTTATTGACTTACGTGTTTTTACTTACCCTGGGACACTCAACTCAAATACAGCATCTTTAGAAATAAGTCTCCATTGAAGTTTTAGTAAAGTCAGAGAAGTTATGGGCAGCCAGAGTCCCAAATTTGCCAGGTATCCCACACTACAAGTACTTTCCATAAGAAGGAATGCATAGTTTAGTTTTACATGCTAATTATGAAAAATTAATGAAGCTTTAAGCATCAAATAATTGTCCAGAGGTAGGGACAAGTTTGTCCACTCTCTTACCATTGCCATGAAGAAACAGACAAAGTTTACAGTGGAATGACAGGCCAAAAGCTAGCAGTTTGCACCTACGCTGACAGCCCAAACTCTATCTGAGATTCTTGGTTTTTCTTCATTAAAATTATAAGGTACTTGCTTAGCAATTTGCTAGCAGTCACCAAAAATTCCTTCATATGCCAAAAATCTCCCCACTTGCTGACCCAAAAAACAAGCTGTCTGTCACATAACACTTTTTCTCCTACATTATTCTAATGCAAGTAGCAACCAAAAGTGAGAGTAAACTGGCTTACTATTTATAACCTTACCACAAGTGATGAAAACAATCTCAGGCAGCAAGAGCTCAAGTAGCATTGCTTTGTCAAAACTTCACTTGAAAGTTTACTTTCCTGTAGGTTTATAGTGAAACTTCAGTAATTCAGAAAGTACAAAGTGCAAGAACATGAGATGGGCACATCTACACCAGGAAAAAAAAAAAACCAACACATTAAAGTGCCAAAGAGATTTGCCATAATTGCTACCAAAACCTGGAACTTTGCCAAGATCATAATTTTGAAGTATTTGCAAACAAGGTGACAGCTGATAAAAGTATGATTTAACACCAGCAGGTCATGGCAGGTTTTGGTTCAGGCTTTATATGTATTTCATTGCGATCTGGGGGTTGACTAAGCATTAATGGCTTGTGACTTTTAAGCTTGTGAGCCAGTGTCATAAATATGGCCTCCACATGGTCATTGTCATTGGGGTTTTTGGCAGAGGTTTCAAATAACGGCATACTGTGAGTATCAGCAAACTTCTGGGCCAAGTCCGTAGGTACCTGAATAGCACTTCTCAGGTCACATTTATTTCCAACAAGAATCCGTGGTATATCACTGGCAAGAAGGTGTTGTTTGCATTCCTCTATCCATGAGGGCAGACTGTGGAAACTGGCAATGTTTGTCATATCATACACAAACACAACAGCGTGTACGTTCCTGTAATAGTGCTGCACCATGCTCTTTCGGAAGCGCTCCTGCCCTGCCGTATCCCATAGCTGGATCTGAAAAGGGGAAGACAAAGGGAGGAAAAAATGTTTTATTACTCATGTTGGAAAATAATACAAATCACCTATAGCTAGGGGAGTCATACGATCACAGAAATCCACTCATCTGAATTAATCAGACCAAAAAGCTTTTGCTGAAGAAAACTGTTGATTTCACACAATTTCAAACGTTTGCTTTCAAAGCTGCTCACATCTGGAGCCAGGAAGAAACGATAATGCAACTTGATCACACATACGAATCTCTGAGAGTTTAATCGGAGCGTGTATTTTGTAAGATTTTTACAAAAACAAATCCTGAAGTCTTGGCAATCGCACTTTTATTTGGAAAAACAACATATATTTTGCAGCACATCTCTCCGCTGGCGTGATTTTTTTATTGCCAAAAATAACATAATCTTCCTCAAATTTTTCTTCTTAGCATGAAGTTAACTGCCTATTGTGGTACTATGGAAAAGTAGGAAGAAATGAAACCATGCATAAATAACAGCACCACCACCAAAAACAGGACAAAAATCTTTCTCTGCAGCGTATCTACTGGAATCAAACCCTCCTGTGATGAACCTCTAGCTTAAGCTTATTTAATACTTAAACTTGGACCATACTGTAAGTAAAAGGAAAAAAAAGTACATAAAACTCCTGCTACCTTAACACGCTACTAGTATTTCCAGGTATACATCATTCTGTCCTAAACAGAATGAACATATTTGTTTGAAGCCTAGTCAGTGTAACGGACAACAAAACATTCAAAAGAACTGAAATGCTTTCAAACTTTTTCAGGCTCAGATTAAGACAAACCAAACCAAGCCTTACATCTGCTTGTATTTCAAGCAACAACTATTAAAATTTTAAATGCATCCATCATCCTGGTAGAATGGAAGCCTGGCATCCTCAGATGAGTAGATTACGCTACAGAATGGTGCACTTATTTGACACAGTGATACTTTAACAAAATAGCTCTCCAGGAGATAAGGGACTGCAACATACAGCAGTCAGAGCCAGTTCACCTACAACACTAGATTAATTGTACACTCTCAGAAATAGACTAGTGTGTGGCTCTATCACATACACCTTATTAATGGTGTTAACACTGAAAGACAACACTGGATTTCTTGGGTCAAAGCTGAGTCCTGGCTTCCCCTCTGTCCTGTACAGCTGATCCCTGACAGCTGAGGCAGTTGGATTTGTACTTCAGCTTTTAACTTCTGAGCCAAAACTGTCAGAAAGAAATGTTTCCTCCCTGGGAATGAAAGTAGAGTTTTTCTTCACACTTGGAATTCAAGAAATATTAAATGTTCTGTAAATGATGAAAGTAAATTTAAAATCCCATCTGTTCCCATGAAAGGTACAGTCAGAAACTTCACTTGATATAACTCTTCTCCCATTACCATAGTTCTGCATTCCTTTGATCCAAATGTTTCAGTAAAACTTACTTGGAAATTGCAAGTGTCTTGAAAGATGCCTTGTTTACCATTTTTACCAGTGACTTCAATATGAATAAAAGGAAACCCAAGTGCCAGGGAAATTTGCTGATGGCAAGAAGCTAAGATATATCCCTGACAGAGAGAAGGATTACAGTACCACATAAAGATTTTTTTGAAATCTGGAACAGTAGAAATAGGGTGAAACTGAACAGAAGCAGATGCAAAGTCCTGGTAACAGTGACTAATAATAAAGACTTTTCCTATAAGTGCAGTATTCATCAGTTTGGAAATTATTAAAATGGATGACGATCCAGATACTCAAGTCAATCACAGAACATTATGAATCACTAGTGAGATAAAGCAAAGGAAAAAGAGTAAATGATGTTTCAGGACGGTGTGACTTCTGCAATATTACGTTCAATCCTGCTCACGCAGCTTTGAGAACTCCGGTTGGAGCAGGTAGAAATGGCTGTTACAAGTTTCATCACGGGAACGGAGAATTCACGTGATAACATCAGAACAGCTCGGCTTCTGTCGTCTAGTCCACTTACCTACAGCTTCTGATCCACAGACTCATCCATGTGCTGATTCTAAAAAGGTCATTAAGATTATTAAGAAGAGCAAGGCAAGTTGCCCTAGCCTCTGGTAGCAGAAAACAGTAGTCAGTTGGAATCCGTCTCATTTTAGAGGAAACACCCACTTTTTGCCAATGGCATTACACTCTAAACACAACTGACTGCATCTCCACGGTCTGTTAAGGGACTCTACACAATCAGATAGGCACCTAAGTCTGGCTAAGATTCATTCACCTACCCAGATGAGAGTTACTTCTAGTTCTATGCACTTATAAAACGTTATAAAGTCAGGAGACTCATGGAAAATTTTCATTAACTTAGAATTTGACAAATTAAAGAGAGAAGAAAGAAGCACAGCCTGAAGTAATCTTTACATTCAGACAACATAATGTAAAGGAATTACTACACAGAATCTTGGAAAATGCTCTATCAAATTAAAGAGGCAGCTGTGAGCTTACACTTCTCTCCCCACCTCATTCACAGAGCAAAAATCAGTCATGCTTTAGTCAAGCACAGATCCACAGACTGGGTAGAGAAGGGGAAGTTAAATTAAAGGTTTACATATCTTCCAAGTTAAGCTTAAACTACAGTTCCTCCTGAATTTTATTTACATGCAGCTTTCAATCTTGAATGGTATTATCTCAAATTAAAAACGTTAATATTCTTGGCATGGAATCATTTACACCAAGAGACAAATCCTCCAAGACTGAAAATTTCACACTTCAGAATTTTCTTTTTTCCTCTTACAAGGTGAAATTGAAGAGACCATTCCGTTTCTGGTCCCCCCAAAATATTTGCTCTACTAGAAAACAACACTGAAAATGTTCAAGTTAATAGATGTGCACTGATGAATTAACAGCAAGATTACTGTTTCATTATTAGTTCAATACCACCCATCTTCAAGGGAGCACATATTTTAAAGGGCTATTATAAAAAGTGTGATTTGAAATCTTAACAGCATAATCCAGCTAATAAAACTGTGGACAGAATCACTCTGTCACACTCCCTGGGAAAGACAAATGGCTATACTGACTCAGCTATCACCTCCCACCTTCTGACTCCTTTTTGTGGATCCAGAAGGGCTGTTTTCTAAACAAGGACTCTCTTAGCATGTATGGTTTATAACACGTTGGTAAAAACAAAACTGGCTTTTAATGAAGATAAAATGGTAAACTATGTCTCCTTCTACAAGATGTGGGAAAAAAAAACAAACTTGAAGAGCTCAAAGGTATAGAACATGATGTTTGGACTCCGTTCTTTGAATTTTATGCGCATCCTTTACTATTTTAATTTAGGTCAGCAAAGAATGACATCATTGTTTTCTTTGATGTTCAATGCTTAGATCAATTTAGGAAGAGGAAAATTTAGAATGCAAAACAATGCATTTGTTGAAAATTTTAATTTGTTCATCACAACTAGATATCAGTATTTCTTAGGAAGCTTTTCGCCTACTGTACAAGCTACAAAGGGATACACTCGTCCCTGTGTCTTGAAATTCTACACAATTCCTGTGTGGGAAACCCTGGTGAGAAGAACCGTGCCTGTGTTGCTGCCAGTGACACAGCATTTCTCCAGCTGCAAGGGAAATGCTTGGTACTGTAGCAGCGCGAGAATGACCATCCAGCTGGCGGGGGGAAGGGAGGAGAGAGAAAGAGAAGACACTACTTTATAATCTCCTTCAACACCAGAGGAAAAATTCCTCTGCTCAGCAAGCCCTTAAGGGCGCAGCAAGAACAGCAGTAACTGGGTTCATCTGAGCTCCTCTCTTTCCTGGATCAAGAGGCACTGCCGGAGCTCACTGCTGCAAGCAAGAAAAGCAAAGATGGGCGAGATGAGGTGGCAAACCCCCAAAACTCGTGCATAATTGACAACACACAGCACCCCCCTAAGAGTCCTGGCCACAAGGATAAAGTTTATTCCTTTTAAAAGCTGTAACAGAACTTCCCAGAAAACAACATGTCTCAAAAGGGCCTCCTTCAGTTCTCCACCTCCCTCAACCAGAACCTGTATATTCAACAGGTAATGTCCTCAAGAACGCAACAAAACCATATATACCACACCATATAAAACAAAATGGCATAACCACCTATGCAAAGCATCTCAGAACTGTGGATTACGCTATACTCCACTTCTCTCCCACAAAGAACATGCATAATCCAGAGGTGGTGAAAATACCAGTCAGTAAAATGGTGCTGACAAGAAGATACCCCTCAGGAGGTTCTCTCCTCCATCAGAGACAGTCCAGGGAGCACAGAATCTCAGCTGACAGTCAAAGAAGTGCTATTCAGTGGTTTTATCAAGAAAAAAAGTAACAAAGTCTGTTATTCATGTTTCTTTTTTTTTTGTTAAAAGAAGGATATAAGGTGAAAAAAACACAAGAAAGATGCAAATGGACTTATACGCCCTCCACAATTTTTTTAATCTAGTAAGCGAGCGAAAACTATAGCTTTCAGCTATACGACTGTAAATTGAATTACGAAGCCTGGTGATAATAAATGCGAAAGTACAATTCCAAGACTGCCATTACTCCCTTTTTCTACACATCATTAAACTTTGTTCATAGAAACAAACTGTAATACAGAAGTAGAAAGGGATTCTGTTTAAAAGCACGTTATTCCTAGTAAACAAACCACATCTGCAAGCAGCTAGTAGTCTCATCTGCAAATGACTGTTAGGATCACCACTAGCATTGGTGTATCTACGGGGCAGACTAGGCATATTTCATATACTTTCAAAATTTGCTTTACAGTGCAAAGATAGCAAAAGAGCAATTGTTCCCCCATCAATTTTTTTCATTAAATTTAGTTTGGTAAGACTAAGCTTTAGCTCAACCTACAAACAGACTAAAAATCAACATTCAAATGCAAGCTTGGTATCCAGCCTGTCACTGTCCAGTTCTGTACCATGCTTGCCTAGACATACAGCAATCTTAACAGAATCCCCCCCCAAAATGAAAAAGTTGTGACACATTGCTATCAGCAGTTTGCTCCTAAACAACGTTCAGCTTTTTATCAGAACATTTTAAAAGCAAAATGCTCTTAACAGCAGCATCTGGATAGCTTTGTAAACTTGAAGGCTTGGGCAGTTAAATGGGGTTCTCGATAAATAGAGAATAAGAATTTGTGGGAGGCAACAAGCTGGTGATACCAGGCACAGCCAAGGCTAAAGTACGAAGAAGTAAGAGATCTACTAGAAGACCACTTGAAGGATAAATTATCGACACCTGCCAAAAGCTGTGGAAAGGTCTGGCCCATGGCTGAAATTTTTCATCATCGTAGAAGCTTACGTAGTAATTACATTTCCAACAGGAGCAAGGCGGGGCGGTCTTAAAGCTGAAGAGCAGACACAGCCGAGGCTACCGGCCATCTGAACTTCTGGGGTACGGAGCGTGACACAAGACCTGCGAACCCTCACCTAGGAGCGGCATGGCGGCGGGGAGGGCGGCGACGGCCGGTC